CCTAGATCTCAAAGAGAAAACTCAAATTCAAGATGAGGAGCTAATTCCCCCCCCAAACTCCTAATTATACAAAATTAATCATAAAGGACAATCATAAACTTCCTAAAACAGCCTTTTACGTTCAAAATTTCCCTCCTAAACTCCACAGCTCACGGCAGAGCCGTTTCCGCCCAGGCGGCTCTCTCGCGTGCGTCTCGCGTAGACGCGGACCGTTTTTTTTTTTTGAAACATCTATTCGCTCCCTTATTGTTACTTCTAAGAAATTGTTGCATTAAGGTATCTATGTGATGTTAATTGATAGATTATCGTTGTTTCTTCGAATTTCAGGTGGGAAAAATATCAACTTGAGGAAGAAGAAGCTCTTGGTCGAGGAAAACGCTTGAGAAAAGCAGTTTCTTACAGGGAAACTCTTACCTCCGTAATCAGTGAAGCCTTAAGTGAGGTAAGTATACTTTCATGATACAAAACTGACTTTATGAAAATGCATTCTTTTGTTAATTTAATGTAATCTTAAGTGTACATTTTGTCACTTTGTACTATGAAGGACCTGTAACAAGTTCCCTACATGGATGATCCTAACAAACATTTTCCTATGCAATCTTGTAGGTGTTCCTTAGAAAAGTTTAGTTACCAAAACATGTGCAAGTTTATTTCTAGGTTGTATTTTTTTGGCTGTTTTTATATCACTAGGAATTTGCTTCTCCCTATTACAGCTACATTGCTCCCATTATACTCAGTTGTTTTCCTAGAAGTCACGCTTCCTTTAAGCCGTGGTTGCCTATGATTTGGATCTTAATTTTCTCTTAAAAGAAGTTTTGATAGTTTTATCTTCAAGTTGGTTTCATATGATTTGGATCTTAATTTCCTTTTGAAAGAAGTTTTGATTGTTTTATCTCCATGATGCTTGGGTTGAACTTTGTTGTTTCTCTTTTATCGTTTTGACCCTCAAATTGCAATGTCATCAGATTATCGTTCTTTCTTAATTTTACATGAATGTCCAACCTTTCCCTTTTGGCATATCACATTTTTTAGATGTAATTAAACTTTTTTGACGGGTTTTCAATGTAAGTTGTCACTATTGAACATTGTGCTTCTTGAGTGAGTGACAAAGACAACCTATGAAGTCATGAACTTGATCTATTTGAAGTGGTTACTAAATTTAAGCTTGTTTTATTTTTCTTTAAACAGTTGCTTTGGTAATTATTTATTGATTTTTTGTTTTCCAAACTTGGGTTTTTTAGAATGTTACTGAGCAGGAACCTGAGCGAGAATACAGCCTTGCTGGCCGAGCGCTGAAAGAAAAATAGTGAGTATAATTTGCTTGCATTTGACCCTTTAGTTCGTATAAGTGGCTAATTGGTTTCCCATAAACAGCATGAAGCTCCGTACCAGACAAAAGGAACGAATTGCAAGAAGGCATACACTGGAAGTTCATTTTTTTGCTGAGAGACCCGAATCATTAAAGCAATCACCTGTTCTTGATAGCAAAGAAGGGCAATGTGCTGATTCCACTGCACATTCAGAAGATTCAAGTGAACTAGATCCTGCGACAACTCCATATGACTCTAAATATTCTCAATCATTTGATGCTAAGAACTCGAGTTATTCCACATGCAAACAGGGAAAGATCTCAAAGCTTGGTAAAAAAAGATTTCACGGCAGCCATCTTAGTCTTTCAGTTAGACCTCCTGGTCTTTCCTCTGATAGCATCCCACCAAGCAACCATTTCCAAGACAGTTGCGCAAATTGTGTTCCTTCTAGTTCATTTTTACCAGTTTTGGGGCTGTGCGCTCCAAATGCTAGTCGGATAAATTTAACATCCCGGAGGAGTTCAACAACTCAGATTTTCAATTCTTCATTTGGCCAACTGGCATCTAATCATGAGCAGCAGAAAACATCCAGTGGTGTTCGAGAGTTTTCAACTGCACCTTTTGTTAAAGGGGAACTTTTGACTGACACTAACTCTGATGGTCAAGAACCTACAGATTTGTCAATATTGTTAGATAAACCGGGAGACGGACAGCATCGTCGTCTGAAGAATATCATTCCAGACAGCTATTTTCCATTCGGCCCCGTCTGTCCTAAATCCTAATCTTGTGCTTTATTTTTTATTATAATTCCATGCGGTTTGGTTTTAATGTCCTTTGCTGTTGCTGCGTTATAGAAAAACTATAATTAAGTGTGATATGTTGTGCTTCTTCATGTGCAGCCTCTGCTTCCGACATCTGGAAGGTTTTCTTCAGATCTTAGTGAAAGTTTGGGTGCTTCTTTCTCCTCATTTAGAGAAAAAATGGGTCTTCCCAATTTCGTGTCTGATGAAGTGTCTGCTCTGAAATCTTCAATTCCATCTAGAAGTTCAAGGAAACTGCAAACAGACTTCTTACCAAAGTTGTCACTGTGCTCAAATATGAAACTTGGAAAAGATTCTGATAAAGACATGTCAACTGTACCTTTAGTGCCAAATTTTGGACAGCATTTCAATGAGACGCTTAAACAAAAACAGGTGATGCCTGAGCTACCTCCAATGCTGAACCTCGGTTTGGTGCAAACTGGACTCTCTATGCCTGAAAATCATATGAAGGTTCAGGACAACATAACGGTTAAAATTCAAAATGATGCACACAAATTTATGAAGAAGAGATTGAAATTGGATGCATGGTCAGAAGATGAACTAGATGCCTTGTGGATCGGTGTACGCAGACATGGAAAAGGTAATTGGGATGCTATACTTCAGGATCCCAAGTTGATGATTTTAAAGAAAAGATCTGTTGAAGAATTACTGTTTAAGTGGAATGAGGAGCAGTACAAGATAATCGATGGACCTATACCTCCACCCAAAAATTCCAAATCTGCAGCATTTCTTGGTCTCTCGGATGGAATGATGGCACGGGCATTGCATGGTAGCAAATTCATGAGTCTTGGGGCAGAGCTGCCCAAATTTCGGTCTCATCTTACAGATATTCAGCTGGGTTTTGGTGATATGATGCCTAGCTTTCCTTTCCTCGAGCCATCTAGTAATTTGAGAGGGGCTAGTGAAAGACTTCCTCCTCTTCCATCTTGGCTAGGTGACAAGCCTGAATCCAATTGCATTGACAAATTTTCTGTAGGACCTGTAGATAGAATTGAGAAGACCATTTTACCTTCGGGGCAACCTTTTTACCAGAGTAACTTTTCAGGTAGTTCTGGAGGTTTAGGGATGAATTTGCTAAGCGGCTGCAGTCTACAACAAACCGATTATGCCTCGGCTAGAAATAGGCATATGAAGCTGCCGTCTTTGTTGGAAAAATCATTAAGTTTATTGAGGGAAACCCAAAATATTCACTCTGATGGATCCAGCAGGGGAGACCTGCATGATGCTAAAAGGAAGCTCGCCTCAAAATCTCTTACTGAGGATGACAGTTTTCCTGGCGGTTCAAAAGAGAACAAGCTGCCACATTGGCTTCGAGAAGCTGTCAGTGCTCCAAGACCCTCAGAGGCTGCATTCCCACCTTCTATTTCAGCTATATTACATTCCTTTCGTGTTATTTATGGTGAAGATAAATTCAAAATCCCACCATTCTTAATCCCTGAACCACTCCCTTCCCTTCCTAAAGATCCAAGAAAGAGATTAAGAAAGAAACGGAAGCTGAATAGGTTTCGGCAAGCAATTCCTGAAGGTTCAAACCCTACAGGAAATGCTGATATTTATGCTTCATGCTCCATTCCTGCAACATTACCCTTAATGGGATATTCTGTTGCTTCAGCACCACAACTTACGCCATCCTCTATCAACCCAACACCTTCACCTTCATTGGCGGAGAACATCATTTCGTCGGCACCGCATATGCCATCCTCTATTCCTACAGCACCTCAACTGGTTTCATGCACAATTCCCTCACCATCATTGGTATCTTCTTCCATTTCTCTAATGCCATCCTTCACTATGTCAACGCTACCATTGATGCCATCTTCTATTTCTCTGGTTCCATCAGGAATGTTTTGCTCAATTCCTCCAATATCACCACTGATGGAATGCTCCATCCCCGCAGAACCACCCCCTAAGCCATGCACCATTCCTCTAGCACCACCATTGACATCATCCTTGCCTGGTCTCCCAATAAAAGACACTGGCTTCATCCTTCCTTCTCTGAACTTGAATTTGAATTTACCATCTTCTACGCCATATGGTGCTCAAGGATTGCAATCATGTGCGTCCCCATCACTTTGTCCTGAAGGGTTTTGGTCTGCTTCTTGCATGGATCATGCACTGTCAATCTCATCAATATCTGACATGCCTAGCACCAGCTATCACAATATTGAATGCACTGGACCTGGATCAAAGAATCCTGAAAATTCTCATCAGATTGGCTTGGATTCTACTGGGGACTTCAAATACATCCATATGAAACAGAAGGCAAATTTAAGCTCACATTTAGGCTGCCAGGGAAAACTGAATGTTGAACAAGTTGATCGTACAGAGAGTGGAGCATCGAGCAAGAACAAGTTAGAGTCACCTCTTGCTAACGGCATAAATAATGTACTGGAGAGTTCATCAAAAACATTCGTTGCAGATGATCAAAGAAGCGACCAAGAATCTTAAACTTCTTTCCTTCGTTTTTTAAAGCAAAATTACTTCCCTAAGTTTTTGCTCCTAACTTTCAAAATGATAGATATCTCATTTTTATCGTTAGCATTATTACTTTGTGTAAGGAGTGCAAATGATTGGAGACATCTAATTGTAAAGTTCCAAGGTTAGAAATATAATGTTACGAATTTTTATGTTTGTTCCATATTCTTGATCCCCACAGCTTGAGCTTTGGTGATGCGGACAATTATTTTGTACTATTTTTTTTCATTGTAACACAATTCTTCTGCTCCTGATATGAAATTCTGTTTCACTAAAATTTTTTGGTTACTTTTTGACTGTTGGTTTTCTAAGTAGTTCCCTTAACTAAGGAGTTATTTGCCTGTGATTTTCACTCTGTTGAAATTGCTGATACTAAGTTCTTCTATGATCTTTCTAAGCGGTTTCTTTGCTTAATGACTGAGGTGATTAATTTATCAAATAGTTTACCATCTAAACCGAGATTAAATAGGAAATTCTATGCTTTTTTACTTCGTATTATGTAGCTTGTCAGTAACACTTTATGCTGTTATAAGTTAGTTTAGTACTTGTTTATCCCCTTTTACTTCAAGCTATATGATGCTTTTTATAATTATTCTCTGACCAACTGTTTACTTGTTTCTCCGTCAAATTTATATTCATCACATTTTTTGAGTAATAATAACTCATTTTGTATTCGATGGAGCAGAAGGAAAATTTTATTTGTGTGAAAGGATGTCTCAGACAGCTATTATTATTTTTTTATTAATTGGTGTATCATTGTCTCATTTACCTGTACTTTTAATTGCTTACCCAGGAAGATTACGTCATTGAGCAGCATTTTCCCCTGCTGCTTGGTTTCCTTTCATAAGTGAACTTTGTAGCCTGGAGATGCTTTGGTCTACAGGGCAGGCAGGTACGAGAGTATTTTCTCAATACATTCTCTGAACTTATTCAAACGTTGGAAGGCTGACAAAGATGTATGGTATTAATCCTACCCTTGTTTATGTTTCTGATCCGCTTGAACTATCAATTTCAACTACGTTTCGTGTGTTGGAAATATTAGTTAGGCCCTTAAATTTCTTGTAAAAGAAAATGGTTTTTTTATATCTATGAAATTCATCTGTAGTACCACTTTTCTCTTTATGTTGACTGCTGGTATTATTTGCTTGGACCTACTAATTTTATCATCTTGTCATCTAGCTTATTAAATCAGTCCAAATGCCCAGTTAGATTAAAAACACCAAGACATCACATCAATTGTTTTTATTTAGGTTAAGTTTGGAATTGTCGTCTCTATTTCCTTAAGAGTGGATGATACATTTACTTGTTTCATGCAACTCTTCTGACAAGTTTTATGTGAATCTATGTGGGAGAACAGTAGGGTGTTACTCGATCCCGCCTTTGTACCCAAATAATTATTAGATCTACCTGTATTCTTCGCAATTCCACCTACTCTCTCCGCTATGGTTCCTTCTTAAGTACGTGTTCTCCCTTCTTTGTTGCAATCCGTTACCCACCTTTACATCAATTGGGCATGGAGCCTACCAATCAACTAAGTCTTCATCTTCCTCGCAGACCATTGTGGCTTCCTGGTTTGGCTTCATTGTGCTGCACTTTCCAATCTATGATCTCACCTGTGATCCTATCCTTCTTGTTTGAGATTCCCACGACTTTGTTGCAAAGCTCCATGTATTGCTTAGAGTTGCAATGAAACCCACGACACCCCTAGCACAATATTTTTATATTCTCTTAAGCATGAACTTAGAGTCCCCATCGCATCCACAACTTCACCCTGGCAACCTTTGTCTATGCATCCCCCTCACCAATGGGACCCCACTGCAACACCTACGGATTCCATTATTGTCAAATACACAATATAATGCATCTCCCTTTGCACCACTGTTTCTACATTGCATGTGAGTTTGTGATTTTGCCAACTTTTACCATCAACAATATTTTCCATTTGCCTCTCCCATCACATTGACCCTTGTCGAGCAACAACCCCCACTGCTTGCCAACCTGTGTTGTAGCTTGATTGTGTTTATATGATTGACATATTTCACTTACTTGAACCTCGCCCTGTTCACTAGATCCCACCTTTATGATCCCATAAATGTCAGCTTCATTGCCAACAAACTATAATCACTCATGTTGAAGCCTTTCCTTTCCATGATAACTATTTTATATACATTTCTTGAGTTTCACACTTGCAAATACGATTGATCGAATAATTATCGTGGCTTTTTTCTCTTGAATGTTTTTGAATTTATTGATTACTTTTATTCTGAAGTATCAAATGTCAAGAATGTTATTGTTAAGAGGATGCTCTAAACATATAAAAAGAGCATGCATATTAATGTAGTGGATTGGATGAAGAAATTGACCCAGTAAAAGGGATACAAAACCAGGGAACCAACACAAGCTTGAAAGCTCAAAATATCATATATTCTTCATTAATGCCTCATCCTACTATAATTGTAATATATATAAGCTAGCCATAGAAACTTTTAGAAAATATATGACAAATTAGATAAATTATTCCTAAGGTATGCTATAACTATGATATTCCACATCATACTCTCCTTGCTTCAGAACAGCTCGACTCTATCGAGGCACATTATCAGGAGGAAGGTATATGTAGACATCAAAATCAGATCCCTAGATCAAAGATTTTGCTTCTTTTGATTTCAAACTCAGATGACACCCCCATAAGTTGTTTAGCCATCAAATTGATTGCTACCTTCATATAAACATCCTCCTCAAGCTTCATTCCATCTTTATTGAATTGACTGGTGTCGAAAAACTTATACATTGTGTTGTTGATTTCAATGGAACTACATCCAGACAGCTTTGCAATCTCTTTCCTGCTCATCATCTCTCTGACCTTTCCAACCACAGTCCATCTTTTGATCTCGAACCAGCAGATTTGAAAGCAAAACATAATTTTCACTATTGTCAGGATCCAAATCAAGAAGCGTTTGAACAACATGCTTCCCTAATTGGATATTCCCATGAATTCTGCAAGCGGTTAGTAGGGTCCTCCAAATAACAGCATGAGCTCTCAAGCCTCTCATAGGAATTGTTTTGATAAACTCTTGAGCTTCATCCAATAGCCCGACTCGACCAAGAAGATCCATCATGTAACTATAGTGCTATATCTTTGGCTGAAGGCCAATATCTCTCTCCATCGCAATGAAATACCTTCTTCTATCCTCAACAAACCCTTGATGAAAACAAGCACATAGAAGTGTTAAGGAAGTGACACTGACAGGCTTGAAATTCTCTTTTATTATGGAATCAAAAGCCTCAAATTCCATTTCTCGTCTCCCATTCATTGCCAATCCTGATATCAAAACATTGCAGGAAAGCGCACTCTTTACTCTTAATTCTCTAAAGTCTTTTATGGATTCTTCCTCAACGGTTGAATATAGGCGCCGATTTCACGTGGTCGGGCGTGGGATCACAGGTGCAAAGCGGGAGTGAGAGCGAAAGTGCAGTCTGGATGGACACAGGAGTGGGTTTGGGATCGTAGGAGCTGGAGCTGGAGTGGAGTGGTGTTGGGGCCGAAATCGCACTGGAGCGGATTGGGATCGTGGGCTTGGTTGCGAGACAAAGCAGAGGTGGAATAGCGCTAGAGGAAATTGTGATCGCGGGAGGAATTAGAGGCAGAATTGGGGTCAGCGGAGGTTGAGGAGTTAGAGGCGGAGAGGGTTGCAAGCGGGCTCGGTCCGATCGAGTGGAGTGCGGGCAGGGCCTCAGATTCGGAAGAATAGGCCTGGTTTGTGTGGGAGCGGAGGAAGTTGCAAGAGTAAGAGGAGGCGAAACCGTGCAATCTCAAGCTAGATCTGATCGGGTTGTAGACAAAACAGTAGTGAGAGGTGGAAGCGGGGTCGAGTGCAGCATCACAAGCAATTGCTCCTAAGAGTAAGAACATCAATAAAAGTAAAAACTGTTAAAATCCAAAAATATTTATTCAGTCTATTCTTCCTATTAGCAGCTTACATATATATTTGGTAATAGAAACTTCTAGAAAGGCGTAGAAGATGGCTATTAAATGATAAACTATTCCTAAGGTACATTTTAGATAAGATGCTCTTCATCATACTCCTCTAGTCTAAAGAAACTAGAGCACGGGTGTTGACCTCATTTTTGTATGAGGTCATTGGGGATCCACCCAGACTCCAGATCGATCCTGACCCTACATCAATCTAGACTCTAGATCCTAGGATCTACTTTGATCCTAGGATTCTCCCAAATCAATCTAAACCCTAGGATTCTCTTAGATCTAGACCTTAGGATCTATTCTAGATCCTAGGATCCTTCTAGAATCTAATTTTAAAATCTATTTTAGGTCCTAAGATTCTTCTAGACTCCAGACCTTAGGATCTACTTTAGACCCTAGGAATTTTCTAGACTTCAAACCTTAGGATCTATTCTAGACCCTAAGATTCTCCTAGATCCAGACCCTATGATCTTCTCATGCCTTAGGAGCTACCTAGACCTTAGATCAATCCAGACCTTGAGATTAATTTAGATCTCAGATCAATTCAAACTTCAAACCAATCCTAACCTTAAGCCAACCCAGATCTCAATTCAAATCAAACCTCAATTAAAATCCAGACTCTAGTCCAGTTCAAGATCTTAATATCCAGTTCAAACCTTGATCTTGTTTCTGATCAAACTTCAACCTTATCCAATCAATTCTGATCCTCCAAATGATCATAAATGATTTAGATAACTCAAACTTAATCAATTAAACTCAGAATCTAGATCAAATCCAAAATCTAGACTCAAATCATAAGTCTAAAGGCCCTATCCTAAAGATCATTTTTAGAGATTTTTCAAACACTTCAAAACCCAGTCAAATGACTTCTGATTCAATGTCTGACAGTTGCATATTGATGGGATATGTCTCTAGAGGCAACCCTCCAAATTTGAACCCATTCTGAGGTCTCTAACCCCAGAATCTAAATCAAAATCCAAAGGCTGTAAAACCTTTAAATATTTACAGCCTATGCCACTGGACTTGTCACTTGGTGAATTTTGACCCTAGAGCTTATACCAGAGCCTCTAGTCACTTCCAGACCCTTAATTATGACTCATTGAAAATTAAATTGCATTTTGGTTGACCCACTTTGACCCCCAGTTGACCAGGGGTCAAAATGACCAAAATACCCCTTAAGGACTCAAACATTGATTTCAAACCAAACGACCTCCGAATTGCTTGGAACCACTTCCAGCAAGTTTCAAATATCAAATCAAACCTGTTCAACCCAAACCCAGACCCTGGGTCAACCT